ACCGCAACAGTGGGCTTGTGTGATGTTTTTCGACGAGTTCAGGTTTAGCTTGCAGTTTGATTCTCGCCGGACTTTCATTTGGAGACCTCCAGGTACCCGTTACCACCAAGAAAACATCATTGAACAACACCGTTACTGCGGTGCAGGAGTTCTCGTTTGGGGTGGAATTATTCTGGGTTCCAGAACTGACCTGCATGTTCAAATTGGAACCATGACAAGCCAAATCTATCGGGACGTCATTCTGGAACAACATGTACGTTTGTTTCGGGGCGCCATGGGCGCACAATTTGTGTTCATGGATGACAATGCCCGTCCTCACCATGAAAACATCGTAAGCGAATGCCTTCAATCGGAGGATATCACCCGTATGGACTGGCCAGCATTCTCACCGGACTTGAATCCAGTAGAGCACGTGTGGGACATGCTTGGCCGACGAGTTGCAGCCCGTCAACCTCCTCCTACATGTCTACCGGAACTTCGGAGAGCATTGCTTTTTGAGTGGTGTTATATCCCCCAAGATCAGATCGATAATTTGATACTCAGCATGCCTAGGCGTTGTACGGACTGTATTGCATCGTCTGGGAGACATACAATGTATTAACAATCATACCAACCATGTAATATTGGTTTTTTGTAAATAGGTTTTTTTTTTTTGTAATTTGCTCCAGGGAGAAAAAATCGCTAATTTTTTTAATAATATCAAACATATAGCATCTTTTTTGCTCTTTACCTTTTGTTTAATAAATAAGCTTTACAAATAAGTCAAATTTGTTTTGCTTCTAACTCTTCCTTTGCTTGATTTTGCATTATCCTTAATTTATGGACATGAGTGTAATTCTTAACACAGAGGAAAATGTTTTGTTTGAAATTTCGAAAACATTCTTAAAGATTTCAGTTTTTATTTTGTATATAATTTTTTTTAATTAAACGAATAAGATGTCGTTCGGAATGACGTCCTACTTATTGCTTACGGGACGCATATTTCACAAGTGCACATCAGCGTAGCCACTAAGGGAGGGGTTTCGAAAATGAACCAATGAGCTGCTATTGCTCTTGTGACGCTAAATCTTCGTGCATGTGAGCGTATGTTGTTTACGTTTTAATTTGCATTTGTTTCGCAGTTATAAATATATGGGCGTAATAGTAAAAATCTCGTAGTGCTTTCGTTTTCTGATTAATCAATTGGTTTCTGACATTTCACTTTTCGCGATTTTTATCACGCATTAATATTTGGATTGATGTCCACGGCATATTGTCGCTCTTTACAGCGAGAAAATGACTCGAGCTACAATTAGCGTCGAGTATTATGCATTTACTAACACCCGTGGATTAAGAGAATTCAAGTGTATATATATATATTTTTTTAATTGAGCAGAGAATGGACTGGAAAATGTTACAATGAATTCTAACATTTTCTTATTTCAGTGCTTGCATTCTTTTGATTTTTAAAGTGTAAGATTCAGAACACATTATAATCTGATTATATCCATTATTAACAATTAAAAGTTATGTGTGAATAAATTGAATGTACTCGTTGTGAATACGATAAATTCACTCTGTTTGATGAGTATATTCTTGTAGTAGACAGTTTCTTTAAGTAGTTTCTTTAGTAGCATTTATTAAATGTGAAATTTAACATACACTAAATGTATACTAATGCAAATTAGTAAAGTTTCTCTTTGAATAAAATTCTACATTGGTTATTATTATAGAACATCTTTTTAATATAGACTGCATTAAAAAGTCCCGATGACTTCTGGGGGGGAGGGGCATATATAATTGGTGTAAATATTTTCTCATACGGCATAATTCAAGAATGGCGCTAAAGATTGCATTTGGACTCAGATGTTTATCACATATTTCTTTCATCTTATTTACGACTTATTAAGTAATATTTCACATCGATATTTTTGTGAAGTATCCAACATGTGTTTGCATTTATTTCAACCAGGTAGTGAAATCTTCATAATTTCCTATATTCGATCTAACTTCGAAATAAAAAGTTTCAGAAGAAATCCACGATGATGCTTTAATTATTTTGTACAGAAAATTGTGTGGCAGAATATTTTCAACCATCTTGCTTAAACCTTAAAGCACGCAAAAGGTCATGTAATATGACAGAAATAATACTGGATGCTCATGGGTCCATCCTAGAAGCCACTCCTGTTGCAACTCAACTGTTGCTGAGATCCGATGGCTGAGTGACGTCATTTCGAACTGTGAACTCTCGCTAGAGATCACGAGAACTCGGGACTGAGAAGTCGCGCGCTGCGTCGTGCGAATATTTAAACCTTTCATTATGTAAAAATTATGTAACCGTTAACGTCTTCATTAAATATGTTTGTGTTAAGAAAGTTTATCATTTATGGATTATCCCTCTCAAGATTTTGCAGATGCACAGCACAGAGGAACTTCAGCCCATTGGCCCTGGCCGAACCCATTGGAACAAGGTAAGCAGTTTTGTTTTACCTTGATTAATTAGTTAGAAGTAAGATAAAGAATATAAAATAATAATATTGTGGCGCCCAACGTGGGGCCATTGGGTTGAATTTGAACTGAAATTTAATAGATTTTGCTTAAGCAAAAACATGGATTTAGAAAAATTAAAAAAGAAACTGTCTTAAAAACTTTAAAAAAAATCTGCTATAAGAGCAGTAGTTACGAGGCTAATAAATAAAATAGAAACAGAAATTGCTAATGAGGGGGATAAAAATGTAATTGAAGAAATGGTTGCTAAGTTAATTAGTAAAGAAGAAGAACTAATCTTAGCGGATAATTGAAACTTTAATTGATATAATATTGAAACATAATATTGAAACTTTAATTGATGTAGCAAATTCAGAAGATGAGATAATGTCTAGAGAAGAGTATAAAAGTAAAATTATTATTTGGAAATTACGCGCGAAAAGATATTTAGATACTAATCCACATAGCGCTAATTCTACTTCATATGGAAATGTCACTGAATCGCAGAACAAAATTAAACTCCCCAAATTGGCACTGGAAACATTTTCGGGAAAGGACGTGTGCAGTTGGCCCGGGTTTTGGGCACGATTTGAGACAGCTGTACACGAAAACGAAAGTCTACATGCCGTAGATAAATTTAACTATTTAAAGTCAATTCTTACTTCCGATGCAGAAACTGCAATACAAGGGTTGACATTAACAGCGGAGAATTACGAGAAGGCTGTGAAAATATTAAAAGATCGCTTCGGACGCAAAGAACTAATAATAGATACCCATATGAACAATTTATTAACTCTGACTCCGGTTAAAAGGTCTGGCGATGTGACAGCACTTCGAAAATTATATGATCGTTGTGAAGTACAAATTAGAGGATTAGAATCGTGTAATATTTTACCGGATTCGTACAGTACCTTATTGTATCCGATATTAATAAAGGTGATTCCGAATGATTTAGCACTAGAATTTAATAGGAAATATGAAGATGATAATCAGACAAAATTTACGAATTTGCTCCATTTTCTAAGAAAAAAATAGAAAGTCGAGAACGTACAGGATTTTTAATTAAGCCAACAGATTCTGAAGTCACTGAAAAGAAATCCCATTTGGAAAATAAGCGGCAGTTTGGAGAACGTTTTCGAGACAGCGAAAGAAATCGGGATTATAATAAGGGTAGAATTCCTTCAGCGGCAGCGTTAAACACATCACTATCTAATAGCTGTTTATTCTGTTCTGAAAATCATACGTCAGAATCATGTCAAAAAACTGTGCCAGAAAAAAGGAAAGCGTTAAGGCGAAGGGGATTTTGTTTCAGGTGCCTCAAAGGATACCATTTAGCGAGGATGTGCAAATCAAACTAACTTGTGGTATTTGCGATCGGCGACATCATACATTGATACACTCTGACGAAACGAATGCGTCAGACAAGAGTCCCGTCCAAAGGGCAGTAGTCTCTTCTGTTTCCGATTGCGCAACAGCAAATAACTCATTTCTTATGACAGCACGAGCTGAAATTATAAACACAGGCAATTGGCGCCAGCAAAGCGTTCGCTTGTTGTTTGATTTAGGATCGCAGCGAACATTTATTAGAGAGGACATCTGTAAGAAATTAAAACTTCCCGTTATTGGAGAAGAAAAATAAAAATATTCTCTTTCGGCTGCACGACGTCTGAAGCGCAGAATGTTAAAAAAACCAGGCTCATTTTGCGTAATTCGAAGAATCGATATGAAATCAAAATAGAAGCTTTAATTATTCCTGTCATTAATGGATCACATATTCATTCCCCTAGAAATGAAATAGTTAATCTTATTAAAAAACAGGGCATACAACTTTCCGATGAATGGGGACCAGGGAATAAACCGCCGAAAATTTCTTTGTTGATAGGAGCGGATTTTTATTGGAAGATAGTTAGTTACGGGTAAGGTTCACAGACTGTCTAATTCCTTAGTAGCGGTTGAAACAAAATTGGGTTGTACCATTAGTGGAACCGAAAAGCTTACGGAATTTCACAAACTAATTTGAATACGATGAAGGTTGCGGTTCATAATAATAAAGATACACAGAACGAATCACTGTCTAGTTTGCTGAAGAATCTTTGGGAGCTCGATTCTATGGGGATAAATTATGATTCGGATAAGGAAGTCGAATTAGAAAATAATTTAGTTTTCGATAATTTCAAAAGATCTGTGAAATTTGAAAACAATCGTTATATTGTGCGCCTTCCTTGGAATCATAATTCAACTGAGCTAGGAGATAATCTGGAGATTGCTAAAATTAGATTTAAGAGTTTAAGTCGTAGATTTCAGAATAATCAACAGTTCTATGACAGATATCGCGAAGTAATTGATAGGTACTTAAAAGAAGGAATCGCCGAAGAGACTAACATTGAAAACTTGGACCAAAAACGTATTTTATGCCGCATCAAGCCGTTATAAGAGAAAACAAGGAAACTACAAAACTCCGTGTGGTTTTTGACGCTTCGTCACATGCGGAGAATTGTTTGTCATTAAATGACTGTTTACATTCAGGTCCTAAGATGTGTCCAGACATACTGGAATTGCTCCTTAAGTTCCGTCAAAATCGAATTGCGTTTACAGCTGACATCGAACAAGCATTCTTGCAGATTTCTCTTGCTGATGAAGACAGAAACGCAGTCAAGTTTCTATGGAACGATGGTGAATTAAATGGAACCAAAATAAAGGCTCTTCGTATGACAAGGGTAATTTTTGGAGCAACATCTAGTCCGTTTCTTCTCAGAGCAACTCTTAATGTACATGTTGACAAATACAAGTTACAGTATCCGAACGTATTTTCCATGCTAACTGAAAATATGTATGTTGACGATTTAATCGCTGGAGCAGATGAAGAATCAGAAGCATTAGAGGAATCGGAACATATTATCTCATACTGAAAGAAGGTGGATTTAACATGTGGAAGTGGGGAAACGAATGAAACGAATTTACAAAGGGTATGGAATGAAGAAGATTTTTCACACGATTCGACTTGTTCTAAAGTATTGGGATACATATGGAATAGGTCAAATGATACATTTTTGATAGAAATTGAGAAATTGAAGAATTGTAAAAGATGCCAAAAGGATAGATAACATACCAACTAAAAGGGAAATCTTGAGATTTGTAGGACGTTTCTTTGATCCACTGGGGTTTTTAAATCCATACACCATTCGAGCTAGAATTTTATTACAAGATTTATTGGAACAAAAGATAGCATGGGACACTGAAATACCAGAAAATCTCAGAAAGAATTGCCAAAGCTGGTGTGATGAATTAGCTCATATTTCTAGTTTGGAAATACCAAGACATCAGTTTGCAGGTGCTGGGAAAAGGGACATAAAGGATGGTTTACAGTTACACTGTTTCACAGATGCGAGTCAGAAGGCCTATAGGGCTGTTCTGTATTTCCGTTATTCGAAAAATGGAGTCATTCATACAAGTTTCATTACATCAAAATCACGAGTAGCACCTTTGAAAAAATTATCACTTCCCAGATTGGAATTGATGGGTGCTTTGATAAGCTCCCGCTTGTCAAAATACATCCAAAAGAAACTTCGGGACATTGATTTAATCGTATATATGTGGACTGATTCTAGTATAACGTTACACTGGATTAGAAATGATGTGAAAAGGTGGAAGCCATTCGTTCAGAACAGAGTGAAGGAAATACAGAAGAATTCAGATGTCTTGAACTGGAGATATACGCCTGGTGAACATAACCCAGCTGATTTACTAACTAGAGGTGAAAATGTCAAACATCTGAAGCACAATAGCATATGGTGGGAAGGGCCCACGTGGTTGAAAGAAGAAATGGAACACTGGCCAAAACCGAATTTATGTTCCACAAAGAACATTGAAGATTCCAACAAGGAACTAAGAAAAACATCAAAGTTTTCGTAAATGCATGCGTTACCGAACCTTCCTAAGATTTATTTAAAACCCAAAATTACAGCAATTTACACAGAATTTACCGAATTACTGCGTGGCATTGAAGAACAACGATGAATTAAGTTCAGAATCAAAACTAAGGTCCCTCAATCCATTTGTAGACGAAAGTGGTGTAATTCGTGTTGGTGGACGATTAGAAAATTCAAATTTGGATTACAAACAAGCACATCCAATCGTGTTGCTCGACAAAGATCACTTGACTGATCTAATTATTCTTCACAGTCATCAGGTGGTAGGGCACGGAGGAATAGCAGATAATTTAAATCAGATAAGAGACAAATTTTGGTTGCTGAAGGCTCGTCGAAAAATTAAAAGTGTTCTGTACAATTGCAATGTCTGCAAGATATTTCGAACTAAACCTGTCATGCAAGATATGGCACCTCTCCCACCAGACAGATGCCGAGAAGCCTTTCCGTTTGAAAACTCCGGGATAGATTACGCGGGTCCACTGTACGTGAAAAGTGGAAAAGAATTATCTAAGACATACGTTTTACTGTTTACCTGTGCTGTAACCAGAGCCGTGCATTTAGAACTTACGGCTGACCTTTCCACAGAAAAATTTTTGCTTGCATTTAGACGGTTCATAGCGAGAAGAGGTTTGTGCCGAATAGTGTACACCGATAACGCCAAAACCTTTAAAAGAGCGAAAAAAGAATTAGAGCTATTGAACGAGGTGATGAAAAGCAATAAAGTTCAAGACGAGTTCTCTAAGCAAGGAATCAAATGGAAATTTACAGTTGAGAGGGCGGCATGGTGGGGAGGCTTTTGGGAGCGTATGGTTCAGTCTCTTAAAGCTCTTCTGAAGAGAATCTTAGGAAAATCATCCTTGACATTCAGGGAATTAGAGACAGTCATAACAGAAGGGGAAGCTATATTGAACTCCAGACATTTAACATTTACATATTCGGATCTAGGAGAGCCAGAATCTTTGACCCCTGGTCACTTCTTAATAGGAAGACGATTACTATCATTCCCACAAGGAAGCTCTAAATTAATTTCAACAAGGAGAGTCTTACACGTCGATTTAGACATCAACAGATACTGGTAGAAAGAATCTGGCGAAAATGGGGCAGGATTATTTGATGAATTTAAAATCTGCTCATCATTCCAAATTGGTGAAAACAAGAACCTGTTTGAAGAAAGGAACTATTGTATTAGTGCATGAAGATAAAATTCCACGGCTAATGTGGAAGATGGGCATCATAATGGAAGTCTTTCCTGCGAGAGATGGCAAGGTGAGAGCCTGTGCTGTCCGCTTGCCCAATGGACATACGATTAGAAGACCAGTGCAATTACTATATCCGGTGGAGCTGGAATGTAATAAGGACAATTACGGCAATTGTTCTTCCGGGCGGGAGGATGTTGCAACTCAACTCTTGCTGAGATCCGATGGCTGAGTGACGTCATCTCGAACTATGAACTCTCGCTAGAGATCACGAGAACTCGGGACTGAGAAGTCGCGCGCTGCGTCGTGCGAATATTTAAACCTTTCATTATGTAAAAATTATGTAACCGTTAACGTCTTCATTAAATATATTTGTGTTAAGAAAGTTTATCATTTATGGATTATCCCTCTCAAGATTTTGCAGATGCACAGCGCAGAGGAACTTCAGCCCATTGGCCCTGGCCGAACCCATTGGAACAAGGTAAGCAGTTTTGTTTTACCTTGATTAATTAGTTAGAAGTAAGATAAAGAATATAAAATAATAATAACTCCCTCCATGGCTACACAGATGTGCACTTGTGAAATATACTTACGGGACACGGTCAATGATTTAATAGTATTATTCAGTATAGAAGAAATAATTGTACTTTAATGAATCTAAAATGTACAATAAGCTTTCTAAAGTTCAAAGTACGCATAGGTGTAATATTTTCAATGTAAGTAAATTGAGTAGATGTTGGTTACTACTTTGGACAAATTAACGTTTCAATTTTATATGATCTGGCTGTTGTTATTAAATTCATTTCTCAACAACATTTAAAGTATACAAAAAATACTTATTTTAAGCATTTTTCAGGGTCAAGGAATGATTTTTAGTCCAAAGGGGCTTTGTCCCTGAAGGACTATTGTTTTCGTTTTGCGATTTTGCGTCGGACTCATAAACGTCGGTTCACTTTTCACACTGTTGCCACAAAATGTTAGAGTCCTGCATTATATTTGAAGAAATTAAATAATGAAAAATCTGCATAAATGATTGTCTATTTCTCGCATTGTGATAAAACAATGGTACATCGAATTTTGAATGACGTAATCCTACCAGCGAATATGGGCATGTGGAAACCAAATTTGAAATTTGTTTTATTATCGATTTTATATTTTTAAAACTTTGACGAATTTTTGATTAACAAACTCAAGGATTTCAAAGCGAGCAATGGCAACGTTGTGCAGAAAAAAAAAAAAACTTTTATCTCCAGCGCTCGTGAGTCTCTGTATATCGGAAATTCTAAAGATATGCTCGTTTTAAATTATTTTGCGATATTGCTGTTGCACTGAATCTTATGGTTTTCAAGTGCGAAGGAACATGATATTTAATAAAGAAAGGTAACACACAAAATGTTAAAAAACGCCCCTTTGGACGTAATTTAAAATCTGAAACATTTCAGATTTTTTTTTTTTTTTAGTCCAAAGGGATTTGAATCCCGAAGGACTATTAGTTTCGTTTTGGCATTTTGCGTCGGACTCATAAATGTCGGTTCACTTTTCAAACTGTTGCCATAAAATGTTAGAGTCCTGCATTATATTTGAAGAAATTAAATAATGAAAATCTGCGTAAATGTATGTATATTTCTCGTATTGTGATAAAACAAACGGTACATAGAGTCATCGAATTTTGAATAACGTAATCCTCCAACGAATATGAGCATGTGGAAGACCAAATTTGAAATTTGAAATTTGTTTTATGATCGATTTCCTATTTTTTAAAACTTTGACGAATTTTTGATTAACAAACTCAAGGATTTCAAAGCGAGCAATGGCAACGTTGTGCAGAAAAAACATTTTTATCTCCAGCGCGTGAGTCTCTGTATCGGAAATTCTAAAGATATGCTCGTTTTAAAACTATTTTGCGATATTGCTGTTGCACTGGATCTTATGGTTTAAGTGCGAGGAACATGATATTTAATAAAGAAGGTAACATACAAAATGTTAAAAAACGCCCCTTTGGACGTAATTTAAAATCTGAAACATTTCAGATTTTTTTTTTTTTTTTTGCTAGAACTTATTTAATGTTGTATCTTGAAAAATATTTTCATTGTCTTAATCAAAACGAAACGTTAAACTACAAACTTGGTTGTTATCAAGAAGCGGATCATAAATAGCATCAGAAATTGGGCCACTGCCAATTTGATAAGCTCTTTGAGTGGAGCCAAGATTACTGACGTTCAGGATTGCCTATGTGTTGCAAGACATAACATGCCGTCACGATATCTTATCCCATGACAAAAAGTTCGGTTAAACATTATTTTCATTTCATTCTGGGTAGATTTCTGGTTACATCTGCGTGTTTTCTCCTCTAAAAACGACACGAAAATGTCGAAATACGAATTCACGTGGACTATTGAAAATTTCAGCATGTGTCATCATTCAACGGGACTCAGTCTTCGAAGCCCGACTTTTATGTTGAGTGCTTTGCCTGGAATGTTGTGGTGCCTGAATATATATCCCCGGGGTGAAAAAAGTGAAGAATGCATAGATGTGCTTATCATGAGATGTGATGATCTTCCTCGAAACTGTCAAATAGAATATTCAATTTGCACCATGGATAAAGATGGAAACACTATACAAAAACCGGAAAAAGAAAAACGCACATTTGCAGCCGGAGAGGGATGGGGATGTAGCAGTTTTTTCGACAGAAAACGGCATCTTAATGACAAAGACAATCTTGTCATAAACTGTAATTTATGTCTTCTTCAAGTGTGTGATGATAATGACCAAGAGAGCTTACATTGTGATTTCATTCGCTTTTACGACAATGCTTTATTCACTGATACCACTTTGCGTACTAGTGATAAAAGTTTCAAAGTGCATAAATGTCTTTTGAGCATACGATGGCCGGCATTGGTTGAAAAGCTAGAAAGAAAGAAAGCAGATGAGGAATGTTTTGATGTCAGCACATCGGTATTGGAAGCAATGATAAATTATATTTATTCTGGGAAACTAGACTGCCCAAATTCTCAGTTAGCAGCGGATGTATTTGCAGCTGCAGTAAAGTATGAGCTCACAAATCTCAGATGTAATTTGTGTTTACCTGTACAGAATTTCAAAGCTCGAACACGCATCAATGCAGATGAGATGTTCTTTGATTGGAAAATTCCCACCTTAAGCGATTTGCCCAATAATACATCCATACACAGTGATGTTTTTTCAGTAGATTTACTGAAGTTTTATGGCTGGAAATTAATTTTCCGCTTACGATCACTTTTATCTGGAAGTAGACCTTTCGATGTTTCCCTTTGTAAAGTGTATGGTGACACTCTAAAGCCTATTTTTGTAAAAAGTAGAATATTTTGCAGTTCATATTTCGACGTTCAGAGTGAACATCTGTTTCTAGCAGATGAAGAATGGAAATGTGCTGATTCTTCTAAAGGCTTAGAAGTGAATCCAGTTCTTCACTGTCGCTTCACTTTTACAGATATGGGTGTGGTTTCGGAGATTACTAGAAGGAGTTGCGTTACAACATCGTCCAGCTCTGATTTTAACCGGTCTTTCAAAACTAATCTTAAGTTTTTCGATTATGTCAGTGATGATCTTCGCTCACTTTATAAAACGGGGAAGCTGTCAGATGTTAAAATTGTGGCTGGTTCCGAAACATTTCTTGTTCACAAAATTATTCTGTCCGCAAGATCACCGGTATTCTCCAGAATGTTCGAAAACGAAATGGTTGAAGCCAAAAGCAACACAATTAATATTCAAGACACGGAACCTTCAATTCTAAAGACGATGCTTTGTTATATGTATACTGCAGATTTGGATCAACCGCTGAAGGAATGTGCTCTTTCTTTGTATGAAGCGGCGGATAAGTACGATATTCCTACTTTAAAGGAAAAGTGTGCTTCGTTTTTAAAATCAAATCTTACGGTGAAAAATGTGTGTGAAGTGCTTTTACTGGCAGACATGCATGAAGATAAGACATTGTACGAGAACGTGAGGGATTTTATAGCTGCTCACGCAGAAGAGGTTTTCACTACCAATGAATGGCCAAGTTTTGTCGAAATAAGACCTAATACTGCAGCAAAAGTTTTGCAGCAGATTGTTGTTGTGTTACGTAATGATTCCAAAACGAAATAGACAAAATTTACATTTTGATTAAGCTGTAATTTCCAAATGAGAGAGAAATAGTATTTTTAAAATAAATTGTGTATTGTATCGAATCCACTACAGGTAAATACTGAATTTTATTATCGTTATCATAAGAACAAATGTTTGTTTAATAATTTTCAGCAGCCTTTTGTTTATTTAACTACTGAAATACAAATCAGAATCTAATTATATCGTATATTACGTGCTTATTTTGCTTAAATCATGTAGTGGAACGAAACATGTATTCGTAGCCTTTTTCTAATTACTGATAGTTCTCTGCAGTGAAGTGAGAAAGCATATAAAAATATTAAATATTGCTGACTTCTAAGACATAGATTACGTATATTTTATTGTAATTTAAAATTTAAAAATATAAAAAGTTGAAATTTAGCAGAATTTTTGTTAGATTCCTATATTTCTTAATATCTTATGTTTTATGTTCATTTATATACAGTTTTGCAAAGCATTAAAAGTAGTTACAAGTCTGTGAATCAGTAATGCTTATTATTTTGAAGTGCTAATAATAAAATGTGTAATATTTCAGTTTAATTGCCGATAATATGTGAGCTAAACTGTGCATGTGATAAAATGCTGTCGCCAATGTGCATATCTAGAGTTATAGTGTATAGTTCATGCTTGGAACAATATGTAGTATCAAGTTTGATTTTGACACCTTATCAATTCTATTTTATTAATTTGCATAATTTTATTTTATTACTTAGAAGATAGCTTATTAGAATCCTGCATTTGTGTATTGTTGAATTACTTACGCTTCGCAAAGTATTAAAAGTACTTACAGTGGTTCCCAAAAGTGTTCGTACACTTATGATTTTTATTGAAATCCATTAATTAAAAGTAAACTTTCTGAATGAGATTTTAATAGTAAGATCTATAATCTATTCGTAACAAAATTACATGAAATATTTTTAAAATATAGCGAAACTTTATTTTTAAGAAATTAAAAATCAAAAAATGACAAACATTTTATCTCAAAAAAGTCTCTGTACACTTCAAAAAAAATCTTGAGATATTAGTAAATATTTTCATTTTTCGTTAAATTAATATTAGTAGGATATCCTTTAGCATCCACAACAGCTTTTAAACGTCTGGGAATAGATTTTACTAGTTTTTTTGTAATTTCTGTATCAATGTTCATCCATTCTTCCATCACGGCTGTTTTGAGTTTGCTTTTCGTTTTGATGTCATGTTTTCGTACTCCAACCTCCAGGTCTTTCCAAATGTGTTGTATGGGGTTTAAATCTGGTGACTGAGGTGTCAACAGCTGTGGATAATTATAGAGACACTACAGGTGAACGTTGAGAGCCGTATACTTAGGATCGTTATCATGATTAAAAATAAAATTGTTTCCAATACCCAAATTTTGAGCTGATAATTTTAAATTGTCTCTTAAAATACTTAAATAAAGAGAATGATTCATTATGCCATCAATAAATACCAAATTACCTAGTCCTGATGCTGTCATGCTCCCCCACACAAGAACACCTCCACCGCCATGCTTAACTGTTCCAACTAAGTTCTTAGAATGAAGTTCCTCATTTTTTTCTTCTCCATACAGTTATTCAACCATTGGAACCAAAAATGTTAAATTTGCTTTTGTCAGCAAATAGGACATTATTCAGTAAGTTTCGGGTGTATTTATCATTGAATTTGCGAATGAAAGCCTAAGCTTTTTGTTTTTCTCACTAACAAAATTTTTTTACGGGCAGAACGCCCATGTAATCCAGCTTCTCTGAGAACTCGTCGAACAGTTTACGGTGAAATTGAAGTAGAAAACTTTGCATTTAATTCTGCAGAAACTTTTACAGCACTCAAACGTGGGTTTTTTACAAATTTTCTAATAATAAATCTCTCATCACGTTTAGTTAACTTTCTCGGTCGACCTTTTCTTACCTGTTTTCAATGCGATTTTCTTCTTTAAAGCGTTTTATCACATACTGCACTGTAGAATGGGATAAATTAACTAATTTAGCGATATTTCAAATTGATTTACCATTACTATGGTGAAAAATTATCAATTTTCGAATGCTGTTTGTAATTTCTTTACGACTGCGACCCATTTTTCAATAATAAATAGAATATTATGATGTTAACAATAAAAAATTAAAGCGAACGATTTTTTAAATGCCACCCCAATGCAAAAATTAAAAAAAAAAAAAAAAAAAAAAAAAAAAAAAACGGCAAACGATAATTCTAATTTTGATTTTATCCAAAAATATTTCAGTGTACGAAGACTTTTGTGAGATAAAATGTTTATCATTTTTTGATTATTAATTTCTTAAAAATAAAGTTTCGCTATATTTAAAAAATATTTCATGTAATTTTGTTACCAATAGATTATAGATTTTATTATTAAAATCTCATTCAGAAAGTTTACTTTTAGTTAATGGATAGAGCCCTATTTCAATGAAAATCATAAGTGTACGAACACTTTTGGGAGCCACTGTATATATCCGTTAATCAGTACTACTTATTATGTCTAAATGCTTATAAAAAATGAATAATATTTCTGCTTAACTGCATATTATTATGGTATAAATTTTATTTAAATTATTTGCATAAATCATCTTACTGAATTTGTTTCCTCAAAGCGTTTTACTTCGGCTTGAATAGAAAGATTTTGTGATTCATCTTGACAAACAACAATACAATAATTTATTTTGAATTCTTTATAAATGAAACGCATATTAGTTATGCTTATATGTTACCGAAAGTACAGAAATAAAGTCATTTCACATTTTTCTTACCTTAGAAAACACAAGAAAAAAAAAAAAAAAAATAAGGGGAAAAATCGAAAAAATAAATAAATAGGAGTATAGAATGGAAGAAGAGGAACGTGCGACTGGGGGGGGGATAACACAAATGGTATTTCAGTTTCCTTTAATTATGCAATATGGGAATATGATCGCTAACCCCATATGGCCGATATACCCTAGAGCTTTTTATTGAATTAGCATTACAGACTGCAGCTAATATACATAATTGTCATAATATTATTAGCATTTTATAAGTACATTTATCAAAGGGCGTTTCTAACGGCTTATGATTATATACCTTAATCAAACATGGCACTTTTAATTTCCAATTTGTCATTCATGACAAAATATATTATAATAGATATTTTTATAATTAATATTTGTAATTATGGTAAAATACTTATTCTGCCGTTTACTCTATACACTTAATTAACTAAACATCTCTTTTATTGTTCTAAATGGAGTTTCCATGACGAAGTAAGAACTGGTGGTATCAATTTCCTTCCAGCTGCTTTACTCATTTGGCAATGGTGGTATATTATGTGTATTTTGTTTTAAATGTTTAGAGTCATTAGATTATTTTTGAAGCTATAGATGTGAAATATGAGCAATGCATCACCGGGACTCGAACCTGGGCCTCTCGGATATGCGCCGAGGGTGCTACCATTACTCCACGAAGGCATGCTGGAAGAAGGGAGAAAATATCTTATAAATGATGTATGCACATTGTGTTACGGTGTCTTGTGTTACAAATATGTATCGCTTTAACCCGCACTTGGGAAACTGAAAGTATATTGCTAATAAATAGATCCCTGAAAGAGTTTTGAATCTCAGATCTCTGAACAGCTTCAAATAACTACTTAAAAATTATTTAAGACTTCAGTATTATACCTTATGTAGCACACAGTCTATTTTAATTGTTACTTTCGTTCTAATGTACGACAGACGCTGCTCGCAGTTTGTTTTCTGTTTGTTAACCAAACAAACAAAGATTCATCAAGATTATTTCAGAATTTTTTTTTCTGTTTTAATTAGTAGTTGCTCTTTAAAACCTTGTGTTTTGGGTTAAGCAATTGTAATGTGTGCTGGTCGCATTCACATCGAGCCGTTTTCTCTACAGCTACCAATATCTTCATTCACAATTACAAAAATGCTTTAAAAATGGTTTTGGCTCTAGTGTAGAACTGGATGCCCCTTCGATTGGCGATAAACTTTGTTCAATTTTGGCGATAAAACTCAATTTCTGTTTACTATGATAGTTTTAACTTGGTTTTTAGCTTCCACTGCGGTCACCATAGTAATAAATCCACGTGTACGTGGATAAAGTCAAGGCAGTGTTCAGTGCCGAATTTGTGCAATTCTTTGATGTTAAGTGAAAATAGATCGATGTGTACATGGACACCAAGTTTGCGCAATTATTTGACTTCTTATTTTGTTTTTGTGTAGCGGCCATGTTGAAATTGTGCCTTCTTCGCGCCGATCTTAGCGTCAAAAAAGAATCGCCAAAAATACAAAGGGCACCCAATTGTAAACTTTTACCAAGGCTTTTAACAAACGGCAGACTTACCATCGTTGCATAATTTTTTTTTATCTCCTGCAAAGATACTGAAGGAAACATCCGATAACAACAAAACCAAAATATAAAACCGGAGAAAAATTGATTTTTATAAAAATTTTCACTATTCTTTTTCCGTAAAGCATGTGAAAACAAAAATTTTATAATTAAATTTAACAATTTCTACACAAATGCATACTGTTTTAGTTCTATTTCCTAAAATTATAAGTGTCGAAATGGATTTTCCATAGAATAAAATGAAAATTTCAGAGGCAAAAGGTTTTTGCTCCTGAAGAGGGGCTCGAATGTAGGTCTAATTAAAGTGTAATGAAGATTGTTTTTTTTCCCTAAGAAAAAAATGGGTTCCGCGGATGGGAACGAATTAAGTTTGCATGCCGAGGTACTCTCTGTACTTATTTTTTACCGAATTTTTTAAGAGACATGTTTTAGCCTAAAAAAGACGTTAGTCTCGAAATGGCATTCTGCGTTAAAAAACTTAAATGCGTTGTATCACTTTCCAAATTGTTGCCAACAAATATTATCGCCCTGTATTAAAATTAAAGAAATTAAATAATGAAGGATCTTCATGAATGTATGGATGCTTCTCAATGGGAAAAGTCACGGTATCTAGGGCCATCAAATTTTGAATAACGTAGTCCTCCACCTAAACATGGGCACCTGGAAGCCCATGCTAAATTTCGGATTAGTTTTATTACTTATTTTAACAAAAATGAACTGAACAAAGACTAAGCGGAAATAGAGATTTCTCTATCTAAGACAGTATTCTCAAACTTTTTTTTTGCTCCATAAACCGCTTTAACCAATGTTAGACGATCATTTACTCCTTTCCTCAAACTCCAAAAATACATATATATTTATTTAAATTTAGACTATTTTGAATGTGTTTTATAAATTAACAAATAAACTAAATTAAAAAGTATAAAAATGTTGATAAATATAAAAAGTGGAATAAAATTGTTTTTTCATATTCATAAACTAAACTCAGTGCTAAAAAGCTGCCCCCATTTCCCCTCAAATTATGAAATCCTCCCCCCAGTTGAGAATCCCTGGCCTAAGACGTGCCTCGAAATTAACGTGGCTGCTTATGTAAGATTAGGAACATTATTAGCGAGGTTATTTTATAGTTTTCCGTTTTGTCTCCGGTGTTCACATTTTCCAAATGTTTCATGAATGAAACATTTGGAAAATGTGTGAAATAGTAATTGTTTCATACTTTTGACGTTCACGTTTCGGCATTCTACTTTTTTTTTTTTTTTTTTTTTTTCCAATGTGGCGCTCTAAACATTTACAAGCGCTGGCTGCTACTAAAGCCGGAAGCGGCGGTCTCTTATTACGCAGGCATCTAATAGATGGGCCACTGTTGCCTGCTATGATGGACAAATTACATGCATGCCTTCTCGGAGATTCGAACCTTCAGTGCCTTAGTCAGAGTCAGTAACAATTTTCCTGTCCGGACGACTTCGGCATTCACACAGTACCTACTTCCATACATTGCCCGGTAACACATTATAAGATTATGAATAGGAAACGTGAAAATCTTAATCAAACACGGGCCATATATTTCGATGAAAATTTTCTTTCATAGACGTGATTACATTTGACAACTTTCATATTTACAACTTTTCGTTTAATCATGATATAATGTGAGGTATTGGAACATTTTCCTCTTATGAATTAATCGCTTGCATTTGCTTTATTTGTATATTTTCTGTTCGACTACCTCTACAGGAGTAATATTTTACCTTCAGTACCATATAATTAACAAAAGTAATTTCACTCAACAGAATTTTATCCAGTCTGCATAATTTAAAGTCACTTTTAGAATTACTCATTAATTTTGATTACTAATATAATAAGTGGCAAACTGAAAGATTGTAAACAGGTTCTTTTAATAGAAAAAAATTGTATCGCAGCAGATTATATTAATTATTATTTGCATAATCATTGCTGTAACGCTTTATTTAGAAATTTTGAAAGTGAAGATTTTAAAATTGGAATCAGACATATGTACATATATATAGGTAAAAAACATAGCGAAAAAGAGAATTTTAAAAATTAAAAGACCAAGTGAGTCAAAAATAGCGCTTTAAGCTGCTGATTTTTTAAATGAATTTAAATTAGAAAGGAATGGTGAAACATACAAAAAGTCGTAAAAAACACCTGCAGTATCCTATCAAAATTCCAGAAACACTTTGCTATATGTGTGATAAAGTAATTTATAAAAAAAAAATCAAATTATCGAAGAATTGAAAAGCGTGTATAAAAATAATTTCAAAGTAAAGCAAAACTGACAAACGTTTACAAACAAATTTATTAATCTTCCTTATTCAAAGCTTCAGACAGAACTTGTCAAGGGAAAAGTGCTTGAAGCTTCCAACCAAGTTGATTAATAGGATCATGCAAACATGTTTCGTCTCACACATATAGCAAAGTGTTTCTGGAATTCTGATGGGATACTGCAGGTGTTTTTTACGACTTTTTCTAGGTTTCACAATTTCTTTCTAATTTAGATATATATATATATATATATATATTTATATATCTAAATTAGAAAGGTAATAGAATTAGAAAGGAATATATATATATATATATATACAAGTGTATTTAGAGCAAAGTCTTTTCTTTTAAACACATCTTTATATTAAAATCTTTTTAAAATGTTGGACATGTGAAATTAGGAATGAAAACATTTCCGCGATTACAAAATCTAAGATCAAACTTTATTATTCTACCATACAAACGATAAACTTTTTGATCATGGTAACTAAAGGAAGACATGTTGGCAAATCGCAAAAACAGAAACGATTATCACGATACGAGCACGAATCGTAATCTTCGTCCTAACATTTCATTGCCATCACAGGAAGAAGTTTCAAAGAAAGCAAGATTATTTTCTTCACTCAGTTCGAACAGAAAAAAAGAATTATTTTTATTCTCATTTTCTCAATATAAATAAAATAAAATTACTGAGAAAACAATGTATTAAAATAATGTGTAATTTTTATAATATTATAGCATATAATGTATAATGTTTGTAACATAATATAGCAAATATGTTTATTTTTCGAAGTACAGAAATGTAATAGCAAAATTCTTTGCTCTCCAAAATTATTAACAAATTTATCAATATTTGTGTAGTAGTTTGATGAAACATAGAACACTTTTTTCTTTTTCATTCTGATTTACTCATGCAATATTAGTTTTTAAGCTGCATAAAAATTTATATAAAATTTATATAAAACACGCTTCAAGTGTTTCCTATAGTCATTCATGTCATGATAAATTTCTATTACTCATTTCGAAGACTGAAACAAACCGTTTCCCCTTACTGTTACAACGCTTTGCTTTCAATTTGTATCAGTATTTACATGAGAGACAAATTTAATGTACTATATTGGAACTGTAGTTTCACATACAGCCAAATATTAATTATATTTTTATTATGTACATTCAATAAAATAATTTTAATAAAATAAAATTTAGTTCAAGTAATAAATAAAATTCTGAAATTTATCCTTATAAGGGTCTTAGTTTTGTTTCCTATTGTTTTTCAATAAAGTAATTTAGGTTGTTAACACGACCATTCAATTGTAACTCATGTGCACTTCAAATTGGTCTCTTGTAAATCATTTTTATAATTTTATAATTTGCTTTAGCTTCCAACATTTAATACAACTATCTGCTAGTTTTAATTCTGTTCCGTGGAAGAATTAATTTTATTACAAATTTTACTTATTTTAAATATCCTTATGTTCTACATTTATGATTTTAAATTTCAATTTCACTAGATATATTTATATCCATTAAATATTAATTTTGATAGCTATTAAGTTCGTTATCAACGATTTAAGTTTTTCTTTAGTTGCTTTTGCATGCCACATTATTTGCACCGAATTAAGCTAACTTGTATTGCATATGTTCTTTAAACAAACAGAAGGTTTTAATATTGAATGTAACATGAAAACATTTTTTAAAAATGTTTTAATACATGAAAGTTATGCCTTATTTTGTTGATAAATTTTTTTAAAGTAATTTTAACTAATTATTCTAAAATCTTGATTGCTTTATATTAATTAATTTGTTGACTCAGTTTCCTACTTGACCTTAAAAAATCATAAACTACGATAATAGTACAATAGAATTATCTATTACATTATGGTTTCTCAGTTATGCAGTTTTTATTTTTCCCGGCATTCCCTGAAATTTCTCAAGAAATTACCAGGATTTACCAGGAATGGTTGGCTGCACAAATTAAAGAAAAAAAAGTTGGCAGTTAGTTGCATTTACAATAATCTTTTAAGTATATGTACGCTAATCAATTTCATTAATATTTCATTTAGAAATTATTTTCGTTCTCACCCTGCCCCCCCCCAAAAGTCAATAATGCTTCCCCTCTTTTTAAGTTTTTGCTTATCTGAACCGACATTTTTCATGTTCAAAGTTCATACAATTAGTCTTCGGCATTTTATTCATTGAATAGAATGCCAAGAATTCATATGTTGAATCAAATAAAATAAAATTCAGATGTTAATATATCAGTTATACTGAATATCTTCTTGTTTTGTTGTATATGGATTGCATTTCGCTACGCTTCAGAAATGGATCACTTTTTTCCCATTCACCCAATCACAAACTTTAATAATTTACTTCTCTTAATAAAATAAGAATTTTTAATTTTCATTATATGAAATTTAATTAAAAGCAATTTTATGCTCCCGGCACATTATTTGAATTCCTAGGAATAAAAATGTAACAAGAAATATCTGGAATACCTAAAAAACGAGATTCTGGTTTCTTGGGAAATACACCTTAGACAATCAGATTCATAATCATTTGGAAAGTCAAAATTACACTGCAATTGAAATACGTCGAAACGTTACACAATATCGTAGATCTGAGCATTTAGAATCAGCACTTACAATATATATTCAGATTTACACTCAAATAGAAAATATATGAAACTAAAAATATTATATTTGAAATATCTTTTAATAATATTGATTACACAAATGGAAATAAAATAATGTTTAAAGACCATATTCTTGTGATATTTATTAAAATTGTACAAAAGTTTTTAGGTAGGGCTTAAATGACTGAAAGAAGAAAAAAATCTTGCTTTGCTTTTCCATTGTATTTTAGGTTCAGCTACAGCAAATATAATTGAGTACATTAGTCCTTCTTTTCGGTTTTCCATCGCTCTGGTGACATGAAGTGAGATGATTATATAGCAATGATATGTAGATGCTCTCCCTCACTTACAGTCATTTCCATCTCCCTCACTTACAGTCATTTCCAGTTTATCCATGACGCCGTTTTCCTGAAAAGGCAGGCAAAAGAACAAAAACTTATTAGACTTAAAAAAATTATTTTTACATAGTTTTGAGGTTAATAAAGTCAAAATGTTGTAGGAAACATATAAGTAGTTTTTATATTGAGGAACTCAATTTACATTTTCAACTGTTACAGTAAATTTATGAAACGTGAGTTAAGATTAACACCATAGATAACACTACCTGTGGTACAGAGAACGTAACTCTTAGTATCTTCCTCAAATTTCACAAAATAATAGTCCTCACAAGCTCTTTAATTGAATATAATGGTATTCTTAAGTGGTAATGGCAATAGTGTCTGATTTGAGTTAAAGTATTTTTAGAGGTTAAGGAACTAACGAAAGGTTAAAGAGCTTACGATGTTAAGAAACTATGAAAATTACCCTCTGGTTGAAAACCTTTGCACTAAAAGGAGCACCGAAAATCACGTGCCTGCTTGCGTGAAATTAGATACGTCATTAGTGGAATCATCATCATCATCATCAATACTAAAATTTACTTATTTTTTCCTAATCAGAAGAACTTATGAGTACCAATACTTTTTGTACATACTGTGAAAGAACTCTTTAGAAAATGCTAAATTCATATCAGTTGTATATGACAGTAGACAGCATGCTGATTATTCAGCTTTGCCTTGAATAATTCGAAGTCTATTAATCGCCGCAGAGTGATTGCCTGGTAAGTATTATGCATTTGCTGTGCACACCTACTTTATGATTTGCAAAGAGCGAAATTTTAATTCATCACCATTGACGAATTGAAAGAATCCCTCTAATATACCATTGTGCACACCCTAAGCGAAATGTGACGGAAAATAACGGATTGTCTCTGCTGTAGTATCGAGGATTATTCAGACAGTAATGGAGCTCATCTGATTGACTTTAAAAAGAAGCTACTAAATGATGTGCTTTTCTGTGATGTCACAAATCTGTAAGTGTTGATAATATTTTTCATAAATAAATTATCCCTTTTTTAAATTTAAATAGTGTAATGCGTACTTATAAACGTATATATATACTTTGGAATAAAAAGAAAGTATATGAAAAGGGCGACTTTGGCTGTTAAAATTAAAGAATTGTCTTGTACATAGTTTTTTGGAGAACTGTGAATAGCATGATTGTTATTTGGCGCTTTCGGAAACTCTAGCAATTTCTACCAAGTATCATATATTGCAATCTGCCGCACCATATACGTATGGAAAAGCCTGTTTTTCAAGACAGTGTAGCAGAAAATTGTGATCTAGAAAAATATTTTATAGAAATTAAGGAACTTCTTAGCATTAAATCTATAACCTGTTTCAAAATTATATGCGGAATTTAACCCAATTACAACAGCATTTTGAAATTCCATTTAAAAAATGTTCAGCTTCAAAGAAATTTTGTTTGGAAATCTGAATCGGACAGTTACTATTAGCTAAAGAAAGAAAACAAAACTAACCACTGGAGAATAACAATTAAGGCATCTCTAAAATGGAAAATTAAATTAGTCAACTGGTACCTAGGATATGAAAAAGTTGAAAGGATTAAAAAAAAATGAAATTTTAGACATCTTGTGTCCTCTTTATTAGCAGTTCAAAACTGTTATTGTAGTGATCTTGAAATACTAGGACTATGAGAAAGAACAGCATAAAAATAAAATAAAAATCAATAGCTCTTAAAAACTGATCATACCAATATTATTAAAAAATTCTAATTTCTCAATGACCTCTTACTCGAAAGGTCAGAATAAATCTAATCTCAGGTTTCCATAGGTTAAGACGAAATTAATTTTAATGTCGGAAATTTCAAATATAAAATAGACACATTTACCTGAATATCATATTATCAAACATCCTTTTATATTGCGCCGTAGTAATATTAAATATTAAAAATAGTTTTAATGTAACTATTTTACTCACAGAAACATATTTTTGATTAGTTCTTAAAACTGTACATAAAAGGCTAGAATTTGAGAACTGGAAGGAAGAGGATCTTCGGAAACATATCACTTAACTAAATCACTACATTTAATTATTCTTATCCTTTTCATTGCAAATATCTTTCATTATGTTTCAAAAACAAATTTTACATAGGTATCTCAAAATAAATCACATACAAAAAGAATATTCCTGCACAAGTACATAAATATTTGATTTAAAAATGTTGTACAAAAATTAATTTTTATATGTAAGGTTTCGAAATTTTGGTACGTGGAGCATCTTAAAAATTGTTTTTAAAAAGAGTTTGTTTAAATCTATTCACTCTTAAAAATATGAAAAATAGAAGAATATACATTCCTTTTCCATATTAACCTTTGTTTATTTGAATTGTTATGCTTAAAAAATAAATTTCACGTGGGTATCTTATTAAAAAATAAAGCATATACATAAAGAACATTCATGCATAAGTGCATAAACTGTAAATCGTTTTGATTTAAAAATGTTGTAGAAACATGAATTTTTATATGTAAGTTTTCTAAATTTTGGTACATAGAGCATATTTAAAATTTTTTTAAAGTAATTGTTTAAATCTATTCATTCTTAATAAAATTTGAAAAATTCAAGAATATACATCCCTTTTCCATAATAACCTTGGTTTATTTGAATAACAGTGACAGGTATAGCTGTCAAACAGGTGTAAAATTTATTTATAATAAAATTTAAAAACACAATTGTAACATTTTTTTTTCGTGAAGTACAATATTTTAAGCGCAAAATGCTAAAAGAAAATTAGTTTAGCCAATAAAATTCTGCAACTAGTTAATAACAACTCAGTGTTAGTAGCAAGAGAAGCTGATTAGAATTAAAGCATGCTGAAGACGATTAATCCTAAATTACGATTATATAATGCATTTATACGATTATATAATGCAATTTCATATATGTAATTATATATCGATTATATAACATAATTATATATCGATTGTATAAATTAACTGTATACGTAACAACTGCTTTAGATTTATATGCTTTGTTCAGTGTATTACAACTTCAAAAAACGAAGCTATTTCTTTAATTGTTATGTCCCTGTTTTTGTAATAAGCAATTCCCTATTTAAAGAATGCAGTACTGCAATAAAATATTATTACCAGTCTTCTTTCACGCCATTTTCAATGTGTCCCCGTCTTATAATAGACAGTTAAACAGAATGTTTGAAAAAAGGGGTTACAGGGATTAGTTCCTTACTACTAATCTTAGATATGTACTTCTTGTTACAATGATTCTCAAAATAAAAAGTAAACAATTTTTTTGAAAACAATTTCAATATTAGAAGGTTGGAGATTCTATAAATGAAGAATTTAAATAAAAAAATTAGCTTTTTTGTATGATCTTTACAGAGCACAAAGTTTATATAAGAAGTTTTTTTTAACCTTTCCTCCATGCCCCTCTTTTCCAATATGCCGAAATGTCTTCTATGTGTTTCTAGTATTTTTGGACTTTAAATTACTGCATTCCAAATAGTTATGAAAATTTAAAATATTTTAACTTAGCGTATTGTGAAGTTGCAGATAAATTTATTTCGATTAAATAAAATTTCAGTGAAATTTTACATAATTAATTACTAAATGATTAAACCTTTAAATAAAATATTTGATTAAAGAAGTTGCTTAGCAGAATTAGTTCAAAATAATACCAATATTTTGAAACTCATTCAATTTTTATAGAGATAATAAACAATGAGAAATTCATGACTATTTCTACCAAGTCTGAGAACGTAAAGAAGTGTTTCCAGCAGCATAACGCAGTAAAATAATAAAAATAAATAAAACCAACGCATAAATATATTTTTCTGCCATATCTGTATCGGATCCCCTTGCCAAAAGCAAATATTTTATGATTGATTTCTCATGGAAACATGCGCCTAAATCGGCCTTTGTCTCCAGAAATTTATCACGAACTTTTTTATCTGAGTATTTGTAACGGATATCTTACTAAATTCAAATTGTCATAGTTAAGATCAGGAAAATACCACCTGAATACATCCAGAAAGATTCGGAAAAAAAAAAAAAAAAAAAAAAAAAAATGCTATATTTTAATTTTCTGAAATTATTGAAATATTTGTTCTTTGCTATCAGAATCTAGAAATGAAAAGAAAATCTGGAAAGGTTTCAGATTTTAATGACTGCTCAAAATGATTTCCTAGGGCTTTTTACTGTTTTACTCGCTGAGCTTGCAGCCTGCCAATCCGCTGTTGCAGCCCATTTCTTTTCGACCTTTTGTCTTCATTATAAAACATTGTTTTCTTCGCACGTATGCCATATATAAATGAACAGCAAAATTACAAAAACTTTAACAGCAGCATAGCAGCATATGTTTAGAATTCCTGATACAGTGTTAAGCGTTGAGATATATTTTCTATTTTTTTCAGTCTTTTCTCTTCAAAATATCAATGTTCAGTTTTCTTAGTAAGATGGCTCACAATTTTTTTTGTCTTTTTGTTATTGACGTTTTGTGTGCTGACATTATTTATTAAATATCCTGCCCCTCGCACTGGGCCACAGAAAATTTAGTTCAACAGCAAAATCACAAAATACTTAAAAACCGCATATCTTTACAATTTCCGATAGTCGCGCGCGCTGGAGATGAAAAATTTCATTCCGTATAATATCGCCACTGCTCGCTTTGAAATCGTTGGCTTTGTTAGCGGAAAATTCATTGAAGGTTTACAAAATATGAATTAAATAATAAAACATATTCAAAATTCAAGCTTCCATGTGCACATGCTTGATGGAGCATTACGTCATTCAAAATTTTGATGGCTCTAGGTACCGTCATTTGTTTACAGTACGAGAAACATGCATACATTCATGCAGATTCTTCAGTATTTAATTTCTTTAAAAACAATACAGGGCGGTAATATTTGTTGGCAACAATCTGAAAAATGTATTCTGCGTATAGTTAACGCAGAATCTTGTTTCGAGACTAGCAGCCCATTTTGAGCTAATAAATGACAGTTCCTCATCCATCGAAACATTTTAATATAAATTTCCCCTTCCAGTTTTCCAGATT